TGTTTCCCTTTTTCCTACAAATTACAAACAAACATACCAGTTAAGATAAGTTATATACTATAGTTATAAGTTATATACCGTCCTTTGTTTTAATTTTGTCACACAGTCAACCATTATTGTTTTTAAAACATATTTTAAAAGTACAGCAATTACCCAACAAGTTGGGTCCTCCAAGTTTCACAGTCTATGAGATCCCACAACTCGCATCTATTTGAGAAAACAGTAATATTATCACTGACATTTTGAAATAAAAAAAAATGTACTTTTGATGCCTGAGCTCAACAAATGTAATTATTTGCTTAATTATTATTTGATTTATACATAACAGGGTTATAACATTAAGTGACATTTAATATAATTTTAAATATTTTTAAGCTTAAATTGTCCTCCAATTGTAAAAACACCGTGATATATACGTTTAACCAGACCTAGAAGACAGGTGTTCTGGGAATCCATCCTACCTGGAAAAACATCCTACCCAATGTTTCTGCGCAGACGCGGCGCATGCGCACATCACCAACGCCAAATTAACTACTTTTTCTCTCACCCATCCGGAATACTTCTTAAGGTTATGGTTAGGGTTATGGTTAGATTTAGTCGCAAGTCACCGTCAAATTATAATCCGGGTAGGCCGTTTTGTCAGAGTAGGATGGTTTCTCAGAACACCGCCATTAGCGCTAGCTTAGCAGGTTTGGCTTACAAACTACTAAAACGAGGACTTAACAAGTCTGTTAATTTATTCCAGTATGCAACAATACGGCCCCTCTCTGTGTTACACCTGGTGTGGTCATTTAAAGTTAAAAGCATGGTAGAGAGGGCAACAAATGACGGTAACGAAAATTAATTCAAACTCACCTCCCGCTAGGCTCTTCTTGCGGCACACACGTTTCCTGATAAATAGTTCAATGGCTAACTGTTAATAGCAACTGCTACATTCGGCACCGTAGCTAATTAGGCTAGTTGCACCTGTCAACAAAACCAAGACCACGCCCACATGGAGTATTTTAAAGTATTTGGACCCTTTTCTTTTTCATCCGAACTCATTCGACTGCTTTTAAAACACACACCTTTAAAATAAATTAAGGCATTAAGAATGTATTTTCTTCCAAACGTTCTCCTTAAAGGTTTGCTTCTTTATAAAAGGAAATAATTTCCCTTAAAATAGATGGTTTTGTTTTATATGCTGCTTTGTCAAGAGGAAGATGGCATCATGCAAAGAGCACAAAGAGATGTAATGATGGAGACATAGAGAGAAGGCCAGAAGGAGCTGCACAGTGTCTTTGTGGATTAGACAAAAGCATATAACAGGTTGCAAATAGAGGATCTTAGAAAGCCCGGAGTGGCAGAGAATATGAGCGTGGTGCAGGAGATTTAAGACAATGAGATAGTGGTGAGCCGTGCGGGAGCAGTGACAGACAGGTTCAAGGTTGGGGTGGGATCATGGAGTCTCCCTGGCCTATGAGTTTTGTAGATGGCAACTGCAACCTGTTGTGAGAGTAGAGAGCCTGCAGAGGTGGGGGGAGCCAGCAGAAGGTTGAGCGATTTGGAGACAAACTTAGTGATGCAAGGCTGGAACGTTTGGACACGTGCAGAGAGGGAAAGTGGATATATTGGACTAAGGATGTTAAACATGGAGCTGCCAGGAAGGAGGAAGTTCTCCGAAACGATTCATAGCTGTTAGTGAAGGAGGTGTGCAGAGGGTTGGTGTGACAGACAGGACACCATCTACTGTGGCAAAAAAATGTTATGTATTTGGGCTGATTAGAAACCACCACTGTGCACTTGCTCACTCAATACCAGCTGCTTACTACTTTCCATAGAAGGCAAAGTTAACAAACTCACAACAGCAGCCGTTTCATTCACAACATCCACAGTTTATATTAAAAAATATAACATCTGCTGTAAGAACATCATTATAACCTGAAGCTTCGATAAAAATCACCATAATCATGACCAAACGGGTTTAATTTGCCATCTACGTGAAACTGCATATTGTTATCATAGCTTTGTTTTTTTAGAAAAAAAAATAAATCCCAATGCTTCTGGTGGAGCAATGTGAACGTCCGCTAATAAACACTTAAATTTGCTCGAGACAGATGCAGGTAAGTGTGAGCAGGTTTAATTTTTTAGGTGAAGAAAAGATCTAAGAAAGCAAAAATACTTGGTGATGCGTTCAAGTGCTGATGGGAGGCTCTGAAATCACCTCTTATTGCTGCCAAGTGCATCTCTCTAAAGTTTCACCCATTTTAGTTAAGTGTCTAAAACTCAGAGTGCGATCTGTGCTTTAAGTAGAGCCCTGAAAAATAAGAAGAAGAAATTTACACACATTTACACCCCAAACTGGAATATTCACAGTGATCCATTCATATATCTCGAGCAAATTCAAGTCACTCCAAGTCTGAAATTTTAAGAACTATGTA